ACTATAAATTTAAACATACGGCATGCATGTATTGGATTGGTGTATACACCCGGTGCAGGTAAGTTTTACCCCCTCTAGGATTTATCTATCCATTTGTAACTTAGTTTTGTTATTTCTTGAGTTGAAATTCAAATTGTGGTTATAAAAGTTAAATAACAATATGTTAAAATTTAAGTGAGTTCAATTGGGCGGGTCATGACCCAACCCAATTTTTTACTCATTTAAGTCCAAAGTAAACCATGGGACGATTATTACCCAATCCGATTTCTATTTCAACCCATTTTAATATCTCTAATCTCAACTCAACCCACTCATTTGACACCCCTAATTACGCGTGTCAATCATCATATTCATGTGAAAGTTTTTACTTCACCATGTTATGAAGTTTGTATTGGATGTTCGGATTCATTTACATATGGTATCAAGTCTAAATTTGATCGTGAGCCCATTTTGTATATGTTTCAGCCCGCCAAGCCATTAACATTGTTTCAGATCCATTCATTAGTCTGTTGAGCCCAATTCAATTTGTCTCTAGAAAAATGAATATATATGGGAAAATTTTCAAAACAACAATATTTTATCTTTTAGTGGGACTCCTTAGCAACAGTTTCATTATTTATTAAAAATGTCATTATTTTAGTTTGTTAATGGATTAATTATGTATTTATTTTATTTTGATTAATTTGAAAGAATACAAAAATTAATAACTGAAAAGAGAAAATCATGGAACGAAAAAATTCAAAAAAGGTTTTAAATACAAATTAGTTACCTTTTGAAAAAAATTATAAATCTCCTTCTTTCTGTCGAGACTTTTTTTTCTTTCTTCTTAAGAACATCATTTTTTAAAAAAAATAATTTAGTTTGTCTTCCGAATCATTCATCTTATAACTTTCAAAGATTCTTCAAGTTGAATACGGCATATTTTTTGAAACGAAAATTTTCAAAATTGAGGACTATAAATTTGTCGCATCCAGTGAACAATCGAAAAACAATCAGGTATTTTTTTTCGATTTTGGATGAAATATTCGCATATGTCGAGTATAATTGTTGTTTTTTTTTCTGATTAAATAAGTGAAATCTTTGTATGTATTGAGATTTATAGTTTTTTACGGATGTTTTGTAATATAGGAATACAAGCATAACAATTCTGGACAGCGTACAACTATGGAGTAAAAAACATCAACTAATTAGTGGTTGTATACAAATTTTTGTTGACTTGTAGTGATTGCTGGATACAATTAAGTATTGGATACAATTAAGTTGTATTCAAACTAAAATGTATTTATATTTCAGTTTGTTATATTATTATTATTTCACTGAAAATATTATTTTCGAAAAACATAGAATAAGTTGTATTAAAATAATTGTATTTATATTACAATATCCAGTTTTGTTATTTTATTAGTATTTCACTTTAAAATTGTAGCAACTATTTTTCTAGCTCAGTTTGTATTCCAAAAATAATTATGTATTTCAATATCGTTTTGTATTTCAAACGCAAAATGAATACAAATAAGTTTGTATCATTTCTTAATTCGTATTTATATGTAATGATTAGATTATATTGGGATACAATCAATAACATTTTTGTAATAAATAAAAGAAAAATATATTTGGTAGTTATGTAATACAATTTTGATCACTCGGATACAATTTTTAGTTTTCACTATGAAAGTAAAATATCAGTTTTAAGTTTTAATTTGAATGGTAAAGTGAGCACATAAAATGCAAAAGTTGTTGGTATACAATTATGATGAAAACATAATAAAAAAAGAAAGTTTCAGTTTTGGAGAACACCGATTATATCGAAGTTTGAGTTGTGAATTCTTCTTCCAAAGTTGTTTGTCAACGAAATTTTAATAATTTGCATTTCATTTGGCATACTTATTAGAATGAATACAAACTAATAAAGAAATACAAATGTCATTATACAAACCCAAACATGAAAATCATAATGAATACAAATACACATAAATATTGTAATGAATACAATTTAGGAAAGGAAATAAAATTCTCGAAAAAATACATTACGCTGTGAAAAAAATAAATGAATACAAATATGATTCTTCAAGAACTACAGATCAATTTGACATACAATTTAGCATCCATATTGAAATGAATCTCGTATTATACATAGCATTTGCCTCAACTGCAATAGCCGATTCAATCCAATGCCACAAAGTTCTATTGAAAGCAACTGTAGTAAGAATAACTTGGGGGAAACTTGTGGCACCTTTAATGGGGCCATTGAAATTGATCCCAGATCCCTTAGTGCCAATACCATGAAGAGATTCTAACCACCATTCATATGCTAGTAATCACGTCTTGGAGGAATTTCTGAAATATTAAAACGAAATTAGAAAAAAATTGTTTAAACGACTAAAAATCTGAAATACATAAATATTAGACGAATATGTAAACAAACTTGAATAAAAATAAAAAAAATTAACTGAAAATCCGTAATATGTACAATTCTAAATAAAACCATAGATGGTGATATTGAAAACAAACCAAAAGAAATCTAAATAACTAATCGATATTACCTTTACCAAATTCAAAATTTCTTGAATTAATCTCTAGATTTTGTTTACCAACCGATTAATCCCTTGAATTAATCCACCAATTTTGTTGAAGAATCGAGCTTTGAATATCTTGTGTTTCAATGTGAGCAAAAAACTTGAAGAAAGAGAATCTAAAAACGTGAAAATTGAGGGAAAACAAAAACTTTAATTGTGAAACATGAAAGGTGGGAAATGTCTAAGATGTGGGAAGATATTAATGGATAGTTTTGTATTTGTTTTTTATTTTTAATCTGTTATTGGTTAGAATTTGATCCAATTATGGACTCTTTTGATTAATAAAAGGAAATATAAATAATAAAATATGAATACAAATTATTTTTGAAAATATTGGCATTCTGTCATTTTAAATAAATATTTTAAAGTGTTGTTGTTTTGACTAAATATGTTAGGTATTATGACTATATAACTAATTTCTCCTATATATATATATTCAATCTATTATGTATCTTATCACTAATTAAGAGTTTTCTACTTATCTTACACTTAGATACATGTATTTTTGCTACCAGATATACAAAAATAGTGAGAGAGGCAAGCGAGATTGAGGAGAGAAGCGATTGAGATTCCTATGTATCCCATATACAGACGAATCACAGTAGATACATGTATTTTGAGTTATTCACATGTATATATGGGATACCAGATACATGGGAGAGTGACGAACGAGGTGGAGAGAGGTGAGCGAGATTTGATATGTATTCCAGATAATGCAGATCCACTTGGATACAATGTATTTAGAACAAATTACACGTAAATTTGACCTCATGTATCTGAGATACATGTATCTGGACATATCTGGAGGCACCAAAATCTAGTAAGCTACGTAATATTATTGCAAACTATAGTGTATCTAAGTAATTAATTAGCTTCTAAACTAGTGGGATTAATATAAGTTATCCTAAAAAATTAAATTGTAAGTGAGCAATGAATTCGTCTTACTAAGAGGTTTCATTATGCAAATTGCAACAAATCATTGGTAAATAAGGTATACTAATTAGCTGATTAAATTAGAACATAGGATTACGACTATTAGAGAAAAGTATATAGCGATCGTTCGAAATAAAAAATAAACACGATTAAATATTATTTGATCCCAAATAGTAGTCATTTTTTTCATTATACAATCCCGATTAATTTAAATTTGTACGACATATTATCTGTTACGAACTCACGCACCCCACACACCACCCAACTAGAATATAGTAGAAGTTCATTAATTAATGGGTCAAGAAAAATGGTTGTTCAAAGTTGTGCAACATATTAATGTGTTTTACTGCATTCTAATTGCTACATGTAGCTGGTCGCCTACATTCCAAGTCAGAGAAAAAACTTGCTTTCTATTTCATTTGTTTCCCTTTAATGAGACTGTAAAATGAGCTAAATGAAAAGAAAAGTATGAAAACTTACTTTCTGCGTTTCAATTTATGTGATAGTATTTAATTAAAAGCTTATTTGAATTAATTTATTTTAGGAGTTTTTAAATAGTTTTGTAGTGTTTTTTTTAATAGATCGTGGTGTCTAGGCCACCTCTCATCAACAACAGGATAACTCTATCCACCAAGACTAAGGCAAATAGAAGAATCACCTAGTGTTTTTTCGTCACCGCTGAGTTTTGAACCTGAGATCTCAGGGTTCTCAACCATTTCATTGACCACTAGTCCACACCCTCGAGTGTACTTTCAGAAAACTCAGATAATCTGCAGCCGCTACAACTTCTGTCACAATTCTACCCTTCGGGTGATCACTCTATGGTGCGCACTGAGTAAATCCCCCACAATGTAATAGCTTGCAAATCACACAAAAATGTAAACTATACTAAATAAGCCTTATGCAACAAACTCGATACAAAATGCATTGAAGCGATTGATAAGTCACTTTATAATCATGCTAAAGAAAATATATCTTTAATCTAAATGACTTCACTCTTTCTTCCTATGCAATAATCGATATTCATATTATGATCCGATTAAATTTAAATTTGAGTATGCTAACTATCTATTTCTGAAACAACACTTTCAATGATTCTTTTCTAATGGTCCTACTTAAGAAGCAACAAGTGTCATGCAAAGAGCAATGAGAGTTACATGCATGGCCTCTGAATGGCTTGAATAACGTGAAATACATAAAATTATCATACCTTTGGAATTTGTTTTTGATTTTTGGTCCACCTAACTCTGTCATATCAATAGTCAATACACAGAAAAAAGACCACTCTCGAGATTGTTAAGGCTTTATTTAATACCCTTCATTTACTATATAGTATCCTATTTAATTTCTTCAATTCTCACAACTGTCCCCTCCCTTTTTTCCTTCCTATAAATACCCCTCATCACCATTTTTTATACACAACAATAGAAGTAAAAAAAATTACCTTATTTTTTCTTGTGTGTGAGAGAGAGGGGTAATAATTTAGAGTGAAAAAATGGCAAGTAATTGGTACATAATGTTTGTGTTTTCACTTGTAGTACTTGTCCATGTTGTTACTGCAAGAAACATTCCTCAGGTTCGTTGTTTAGCGATAGAAGTTGTCCGTCACTATTTTTTTTTACTATATATATATATAAATATAATAAGAAGCCCGAGTACAGATTTGATGAACCCAATAATTTTGCTCAAATATATAGTGTATTTGTATTAAACATGTACAAATGTTTAGTTTACGACCTAGTTATTAACACTTGAAATCGTCAAAGTAAAATTCAGAACCCTTAATGTTAAAATTTTGGCTTATGAATTTATAAGAGCACAAAATATCGTTACATTAACGAATTGTTTTTACTTGTTACAAGAGGTAATTTAATTAACTTGACTTTATTTTCCAACTTTTACGGACGGTTATCTCATATACTTATTTTTTCGTGATCTGATAGTGTAAAAATTAAACATTATATATTGTAGCATGCATCGTTACGTTCTTTTGCTGATATATTTCTAACAAAAGTAGTTCCTAATTTGTCTGCTTCAGGCTCAGAGTGAGGGTGTAACGGTAAACACGGAGGTTATAAGTAAAGCTCCAACACCTAGCAAAGGCCTTGATGACAAAAAGAATTTCATCTCATTTGGTGGAGTTGGTGGTTGGGCTGGAATTGGTGGTTATGGTGGTGTGTTGCCTACTTTTGGTGGCATTGGTGGCGCTGGTGGAATAGGCGGTGCTAGTGGAATCGGAGGGCTAGGTGGTCTTGGTGGATTTGGTGGCGGTGTTGGTGGTGTTGGAGGACTTGGTGGTGGTGGTGGTCTAGGTGTTGGTGGTGGAGTTGGTGGTATTGGTGGCATTGGTGGTATCAAACCCTAGGAACATTTTAATTTGTTGTTGTAATTTTGTCTAATGAAACTTTATTTTAGTAGTGCATGCATGTCTAATTATTATCCTACGTTTGTATTTTTGAAGTTTTCATGTATTAGTAGTATTTTCCTAAGTTAATTAGGACATTTACTACTTTGTTTAGGTTCAATTTTCAAGTCATTAGAAGTCATGTTGGTTTGACTTGTTTCTAAGTTATCAAGTTATCATCTACTATATGTTTCTGGCTGAAAATTATTGTTTCCTTTTTATCCTATACTCAAACTACATACTCCCAACGCGCGTCCTATATTAGTTGATCATTTTTTATTTTGCACGATGCTTAAGAAATCATAAATAAGATTTTTTTTTTTTACTAATTTATCCCTTAAAAACATCTTGGGAAATTTACAAACAAATGTGAACATTTTAAAAAAGAATTAATTGCAAGGGTAATATAAGAAAAAATATATAATTAATACTTTCTTGATTTAGTAAAGTAACCAACTAATATGTGACAACTATTTTTAGTATAATGATCAATTAATATGGGACGGAAGGAAAAAAAGAACCAAATGCATAAAGGTTCTATCGTTCTGATTCGAGTGAGAGCCCAAACTGGTGAGACAAGAAGATCTTGATCGAAAGCTCCCATTGGCGATTATTCAAAGCTAGCTTGAAAATTTTGAATTTCTAATAACTAAGCTATTATAGTCAAATATATAATGTATTGAAATGCACAAAAACGTCATATACAACACTGAATTGTCAAAGCAATATAATCCTGAGATGTTATATTGTTATATCATATTATATGTTCTTTATAATAATATTTCGTTACAGCAATCAAAAAAATTCTAGACAAACGAGAACGATAAAATTTCTGTCTAATTATTGTCCAAATGGTGCAAAAGTTCTCAAAGGCCCTGAGATTCTGGCTTTCTTTGATTATTTTGCGTCACTTTCTGTTTGTAACACATTATTAGTCGATACACTTTCTTCCTTAATTTCTTTCTTTCTTCTTTTACTTAGAATTCAATCTTCACTTTGTAGAATTAAGCAGCTAATAAGGCAAAGATTATGTCACTTTTACCCCCAAAAAAGGGTCTTTTTGGTATGTAAAATATGTTCATACTTGTCAATTCACGTGAGGTACATAGTTTTTTCTACGTATATATATGTGCATTGTCTACTCAACAAATATAAGCATTCAAAGTGGTTTAATTTTCATAGTTTGAGAGACATGGCTCAATTATTGTTGTTGGTGTTAGCATTTTTCCTCATGATGATGAACATTAATATTCATCAAATTTCAGGCACTCATCCTGATCTAGTGGTCGTTCCTTACCCAATTAGCCCCGCGTCTTCACCATTACCTGGTGGAGATAGCGGTGCAGGAGGTGGTGGAGGAGGAGGAGGTGAAGGAGCTGGTACAAAAGGTGGTTATGGTTATGGAAGTGGTAGTGGTTCTGGATGGGGAAGAAGTGGTGGAGGCGGTGGTGGTGGTGGAGGAGGTGGAGGTGGAGGTAGTGATCGAGGACAACGTGGTGGAGGATCAGGCCAAGGTATTGGTTGTGGTGCAGGTCAGGGTTCTAGTGGTACCGATGAAAGTGTTCCAATCCCTAGTCCTAGTGTCAAGCCTTGGATGACAAGGAAAGTTTTCCCAGGCTTTTACTAGTCATGAGTCATGACTAGTAAAAAAGGTCACGTACTTAATTGTAATATGACGCAATAATATTCGAAATAATATTTTCTTTTGTACTATAGTACAAAGGATAAATAAGTCATAAATAAAGAGATATAAGTTATGAAATTACTTATGTTTATTATACATGTGCTTGAACCTTTATTGTGAATGAGTATTTGTGATCTTCCAAGTTAATTATATATATGTACATGCACTGCTTACTATTTAAAATTTCGATTGCTCGATATAATATTGTTGGAATATTTCATATTGATTAGTTTGGTTTGATTTTAATTTTGGTATAATTTTAACCAAAGTCACAATTTAGACGTAAGTGAGGGTTTCTTCTCATCCAATATAATCTTACAAATAAAAAGACTTAAAAAAATTGATTTGAGATAAGCTAGAGTAAATCCTAAGTTAAGGGGTAACACCCTTATCTTGAAATCCTTCGGCTTCGATATAAAAGTTAAGTTAGGCCTAATCTATATCGTATAAGAAATTTAAATTTGCACTCCAATATAAATGTTAATTTGGTTATATGATTCTTTCTCACGTAGATCAACAAAAATACAACGTACTATAAATGATCTATATATAAAAAACTAAAAATACTCGCAAAAAATATTTCTTTTTATTCAAATTATAAATAATATAAAAAAACATTTCATCCTCAAAATAGTGAACGGATGCAAAAACATAAAAATAAATTAAAATGGGGTGCCTGTGCTAATACTAAATCGAACAGGTATCACTATGTAAATAAACTTAAATCAAAGGGTACTAACAAAAACGTATAAATTAATCTTCAAGTCCCTCTCATTCTCACTATAAATAATTTTCCCATCCCTAAGGCGGGAAAAATTGGGAAGAAAAATTCACACACGGAGAGAAGATGAAGAAGAACTCAAATTCAAAATCCGGCAGAGATCTACAAAGCTTAGTCGAAGCCATCAAATCATCAGATGTAAGCTTTTTTCCTCTAATTTCACTCATTTGATTCATCTGTTGTATCATTTTTATAAATTCCTTGTATTTTCAGAATTTATTTCGCTGTAGTTTCGTTGTTATGAGTTGCATATTGATACTGGAACTAGTGTTACGTTGTTTTTAAGTTTAGTTTCTCATTTAAGGCGCCTGTGGTGATTGTGTAGAGGTCAAATTGACTGATTTTAGTTTCAGTCATTTGATTCAACTGTTTGCACTGTTTTCTATGTAAATTTACTCGTTTTCAGATGTTAATTCGATATAATTTCGTTATCATGAGTTGCAGTTTGATACTGGAAGTAGTTTTTAGGTTTAGTTTCTCACTTTAGCTGCCCTGTGTTGATAGTGTAGAGGTCAAATTCACTGATTTCAGTCATTTGATTCAACTGTTTGCACTGCTTTTGATGTAAATTTACTCGTTTTCAGATGTTAATTCGATAAAATTTTGTTATTATGAGTTGCAGTTTGATACTGGAAGTAGTTGTACGTTGTTATTGGGTTTAGTTTCGCACTTTAGATGCCCGATGTTGATTGTGTCGAGGTCAAATTGACTGATTTCAGTTTGTCATTTGATTCAACTGATTTACACTGTTTTCTCTGCAAATTTACTCATTTTCAGAAGTTAATTCACTAAAATTTCGTTATTGTGAGTCACATTTTGATGAAATTGCTGTTGGAAATAGTGTAAATTGTTATTTAGGGTTTAGTTTCAGTAATTTTTGACTAGATTCAACTTGTTTCCCACTCTTTGGTGCCCTAGAGCAAACTGACTTATATCATGTTTAGTCATTTGATTCAATTGTTGTATCATTTCCTCATCACGTGTTTAAAAGTTCCCTAGTAGTTTCAGAAGTTTATTTCCTATAATTTCATTATTATGAGGTGTAGTTTGATTATCTATAAGTTATTCTAGATTAAATATGAGGCAGGATTGTTGTCCGATGTTCTGTTTGTAGATAATGCGTTGAGTCTGCGAAATTAAAATGTTATTAGGGAACCTTCTCTAGTAATAAGCATGTAGAAATTTCAGTTTCTTCATGGAAGCATTTGTAGCTTCATGGACATTGTTCCTCCTGACTAATATATCTATGTTTTCTGTTCTTTTCGGATGCTTTTTATACTTGTTTTCTCTACTTGATGGCTTTCACTATGTTAAATGTTTTCTTGGATCATACCTAATAACTCTTAGCTTTTTGCTAATCTTAAGTTATTCCTTGATATAATTTTCTAGTTATTTACATCCTAAGTTTGATTCAATAGTGTCATTTCTATCCGACAGGTTGTTGAGAATCGTGTTGAATTGCTTGATGAACTTGGTGAGCTAGATTTGACCGAGAAATCAGAAGTGGCTTCTCTTATAGAATCCTTACAAGTATCCTGATGACTATTAGACATACTTTTCTTGATTTCACAGTGCAGTGCATAGATTAATTGGATTCAGAAAGGAAAATTTAGATTTCCTTGTAAAAGGAATCATGAGACAAAAACACTAGGTGATTTCTTCCTGATGTTGGTGGGAGGTGACATGTATCCCACAATATTAGCCGAGGTGCGCGCAAGTTGATTGGACAGAACGGTTATAAAAATAAGAAGAGATGAAATAGAGAATTCATTTGTTGTCTGTAAAGAATAATAAACTAGGAACTAGATTGTGGTTCAATCATTGCCATTGGTGTAGGAATTCCAAAATCCAGTTACAAGAAATGATTTTCTATAATCACACAGAGACTACAAGAAAATTTGATTGAGAGAGCTGATCTTCCTAGGCTTGAAATGACTTTCCATGATTTCTTCTTTGCTGATGTTTAACTTGTTTATTTTTCTAAGAAAACAGAACTCCTGATAATAGATAAGGGCTTTGTTCGAATGAATACATGCGAGCTACACTAAACCAAGTCAGCTTCTCTTTCTCTTCATGTTTTATGAATGATGTTGCAACCAAATATATGTATTCCGGAAGATGTGGATCTCATTCTTCTGGTTAAGTAAAACAGCTCATTTGATCTCATTTTAGTAGCTACTTTGTTATCTACCTTAACATTTTACTGGACACTCTGGGAAGACTTCACATGTCTTGACATTTCTCAATGCAAATTGAACAAAACCATTTTGCACGTGGCTGCAAAATATTTGCCGTCAGACATATCTGCAAGCCTAGGACAGTTTCTAGGTCTGGGAGCCAAAGTAAGTGTTGTTTTATTCCTCATCTTCTTAATTATGTAGTCAGTATTCATGATTATACATATTGCTTATATTAAGTTCTTAATCACTAGGCTGCTGTATGGTGTAAAAAGCATCTACAGATGACACTCATGTCGACTCAGGACTCACCTGAAGAAGAACATAGCAGCCTCTTTTATCAGGTCAAATCATTACCTTTTAGTATACTAAAACAAGTCACTGATAAATCTGGATTTGGTTGTACATTTTTAAGAGAGGTTCTCATATATCCTTTGAGTCCTTGAGATCA